TCGAATTTTTAAACAATAAAAATTTTGCATAATGAACTCTAATAACACCAGAAGGAAGTCAACAGAAAGGAAAAACGATTTATTCTAAAATAAAGTATTAATGTGACTATGATACTTAGCACTTAATAAGAGAGAAAAGCATGCTATTTACGTCGGGACAAATATATCCTATTAGCTGTGCAAATGAACCCAAATTTAATCTATTATAAACATTTTAAACTAAAATGAAATTAGGTATTATAAAATGTTAACAAAACGGATGCCTTTAAGTTTTGACTTTCTAGGGAGCATCCTGCCCTGGCCATAGGAAACATGGTCTTTAAAGTATACTTCGACCTGGTGATTTGGATAAAATACCACAGGAAACAGCTCCAGAGGGGAAAAGTATAATTTATGCCAGTGTTTATATATTATATGAATATTTATATAAAGTGTGTATACTATATAAGTACGTATGCATTGACAAAATGGAATAACATAAAGTTATTCAAAATGATAAACCCACACACTAGTAATATCTGGAAATAGGTTCATGAAATGCAAAAGGAAAATCCTGTTGTAGCCCCTGTTTCAGGGGTATAGTGAAGCACAAGATTGTCCGTTGTTGCACAAGACTTGACAGGATACTGTAGAGTGGGCAGATAGATGACCCTGAGTAAGTTTTGACTAAATAAGGTAGTTTCAGGTAGTCAGTGCTATGAAGAAAAATAAAGAAGCAATAGGATAGAGAGGGATTTAGGACTGCTGGGGAGCCTGTTTTGGAGAGGATAGTAGGGAGGAGGATTGTATGGGCTGAGCCATCAGGATTAAGAAGGAGCCAGCCCAGTGGGCGTGGGGAGGGAGTGTTTCAGGTGGAGGGAGCAGTGGGTTTAAGGGTGTCAGACTGGAATGAGTTTGGCATATGTGACCAAGAACACACCAGTGTGGCTAAACCTTAGAGAAAAATTAAATGTTTGTTTGGATTACAATAGAAACTAAGTTACTACTCTTCTGTGGTTTAAAAAATTTTATTTTTTAGTTGTGAATTTATGGCCAAAATACAGAGGTATACAGAACAAAGTACATTGTAGACAAGAACCATAACGTAAATATCTACAGACTCACCAGTAGGCTATGAACTAAAATACCTTTAATCCCTTTCATTTTCTGTCTGCCTTGCTGTCCTCAGCCCCCAGTGGTAAACACTCTGTGACTTTTGAGGTAACGATTCACTTGCTTTTCTTTAATTTTGTGACCTATATATGCAACCCAAAATATAGTGTAGCTTGTTTTGAACTTGATATGAGAGAACCATACTGTGTGTATTTTGTGTGTGTGACTTCTTTCTGTCCAAGTTGTGTGATTCATCTGTGTTGATATGTGAATTTATAGTTATTTTTACCCTATAGTGTATGAATGTAATATAATTTTCAGTTCTATGGTTGATTGGTATTTGGTTTTTCCAGTGTTTGGCTATTTTTGTGATTGTTCTGTTACGGATTTTCTAGTATATGCTTACAAGTGCACATGTGTTAAGAGTTTATTTTGGGAATTTACTTAGAAGGACAATTTCTGGGTTGTAGGATATCATCAAATTTACTAGAAAATGCCAAAGTACTTAAAAAGTAAGTATCCCAATTTTTACTCTTAACCAGCAGTATATGAGGATTTCTATTGCTCCACATACAGAATTACACAAACACCTGGGTTTGCCAGACTACTTTTTGCCAGTCTGGTGAGTGTATTGAGGTATGTTGAGATTTTCATTTTCACTTATTACCACTAATGAATTTGAGCACCTTTTTTTTTAATGTAAAATATTTTTATTTATTTCCTTATTATTCTAATTCCAGTGTAATTTTTTCATGTGTTTATAGGCCATTTAGATTTTTTTCAGTTTCTTTTGTGAAGGGCCTATTCAAGTGTTCTGTACAATTTTTTATTGGAATTTCTGCCTCATTGACTTATAGCTGTTATTTGTGCCTCCTGGGTATGTGCTTATCTTCACTCTTTTTATGTCTTAAAAATTTTTAAAGTTTAACACAGTCAAATTCCATTAATTTTCTATATTAATTTATCCATTGCTTTGTAACAAATCATCCCCAAATCTAGTGGGTTAAACAGCAGACATTTATTTATTTCAGTCTAGACTCGGCTTGTCTACATTAACTCCTGCATGGAGGGCAGGAAAGCTAGGCTTCTGTGGGTTGGCTGTCTGACTGATGGGTCAGTAAGTGGGGGGACTGGGCCACAAGTCTTTGACCAACCAGCAAGCTAGCTTGGGCTTGTTCACATGGAAGGCAGAGTGTTCCAAGAGAGTTGAGCAGAGGTGTACAAAGTTTCGTGAGATGGAGGTTCTCAGTTAGCACAGTGTCAGTTTCACTCCATCCTGTGGGCTGGAGAACCAGCTAGATTCAAGGGGTGGGAAGAGAGACTCCCCCAGTTGCTGGAGGAGCTGCAGGGTTGCATCAAAAAGAGAGGTGCCTACAAGGAGGGGTGGAGAATTGTCACCATGTTTGTAGTCCATCACAATTTACATTCCAGTATGTTCTTTTGTTCTATACACCAAGGGTAAGAAATTAGAATCCTATATTATCCTCTAAAAGTGTTGTGATTTAGCCTTTCACATTTGTGTCTTTCAATCTCTTCTTTATTTTAATGAGAAAAAGGATTTGAGAGGAGCAAGCTAAACATGAGTTAGAGGAAGAATGAAGTTTCAAAAACCATGATAGCGAGGGGATGTTGATAATAGGGGAAGTTATGCATGTGTGCGGGCAGCAGGTCTTTGTGCCTTCTGCCCAGTTTTGCTGGGAATCTAAAATTGTTCTAAAAAATATAGTCCTCTGGGTCGCCTGGGTGGCTCAGTCGGTTGAGCATCTGCCTTCGGCTCAGGTCGTCGTGATCCCAGGGTCCTGGGACTGAGTCCCGCATCTGCATTGGGCTCCCTGCTTAGCGGGGAGCCTGCTTCTCCCTCTGCCTGTGCTCTCTCTCTGACAAATAAATGAATAAAATCTTAAAAAAAAAAAAAAATATAGTACTTTAAGAAAAAAATTAAGAAACAAAACCAAGCCATGACAGTAGCTGAAAGAGCTGATGAGCATGACTAGAAAGTTTGAGAAGTGAGAGAAAGAGAAAGCAGCTTGTCCAGGAGGTCATTGGGGAGCCTTTGTACTTAATGATTGGATGTAAAGAGTTGGCAAAAGAAAAAAAAAATCAAGTAGCATGTTCTAATGTAAAAATAAGAATCTTTTGCTTTCATTCCTTGTTTAGTCCATGACTAAAATAAAAAAGAGAAAATTGCTTCTATCTCATTAAAAACAGCCCTCAGTTTTTTTACATTGTTGACTTTCCTTTCTTATTGATATTTATTGTTTGCATGAGTACTCTGACCAGCAGTTATGGATTGCATTTTTTTTTCAACTTTTCAATTTGCTTGACATGAAACTTCAGCACAGTCTGTCGGTATTCACGGTACTGAGACAAGAGGTGTAAGGACTACAGGAGTCAGTGAGCAGCTTCTTAGAAAGTGCTTTAGACCAGTGGCAGGATTGTATCCTGGTCAGGGCATGGCTTTGTGCAGTTAGCGCTGGAATAGACTCAAGCCTTTACTGTTTTAGTAACTGTGCAACTTTGTGTAAATTATTTAACATCTCTGAGCTTTAGCACCCCATTGTAAAATGAAGATAATCTTTATTTTATATATGAATATTGAATGAGATTAAAAAAAAATCACCTAGCATGGCCCATGGCCCATAAAATAAATGTTACCCTATTTTAGAAGTAGGGTTTTCCATTACTAAGTTCTTTTCCTTTCTGTATTTGTATGTACTTCTCATTATTAATTTTTTTATTGAGGAATAATTGTATTAGTCTCAACATAGTGATTCAATATTTATATACATTATGATATGATTGCTACAGTAAGTCTACTTACCATCTGTCACCGTACAAAGTTATTACAATATTATTGACTATATTCCTTATTCTATACGTATGTGTTATTTATTTTATAATTGGAAGATTGCACCTCTCAGTTCCCTTCACTATTTCATTCATCACCCCCTCCCCACCCCCGCTTCGGGTGACCATCAGTTTGTTCTCTGTATCTATGAGTCTTTTTTTGTTTTGCTTTTTGTTTGATTTGTTTTTTAGATTCCACATATAAATGAAATAGCATGGTATTTGTCTTTCTCTGACTTATTTCACTTAACATAATGCCCTCTAGTTCCCTCTAGGTTGTCGCAAATGGCAAGATTTCATTCCTTTTTATGGCTGAGTAATAGTCCATTGTATATATAAACCACATCTTCTTTATCCAATTATTTATTGATAGATAGTAAGGCTGCTTCTATATCTTGGCTATGGTAAATGAAACTGCAATGTAATTTTCTACTATTTTCTATTAATCCCCAGTTAAAAAAAAATGAGATCCTATAGGTCTTTTGTAGAATAAATTCTTTCTACCATTTAAGCTTGGCCTTTAGTTACCTTCATGCTTCTGTCTTCTATGAAAACTCTGATCCATCTGGGTTTCTCTGGCTGGAGTTTGCCAGTCAGTTAAGGGCATCTGACTGGTGACTTTGAGCTTTGAACTTTTATATTTGAAACCTTGGCATCCAGCCAGTTCTCATCCAGCCCTGGGAGAAGCCATCAGGTGTGTGTGTTCCTAATCATAGCGTGAACTTTTGAATTGGGCAAGTTCTGACCTGAGTGCTCAGAGACAGGGAAAGCGCTTTGGAGAATGGAAACAATGTGGAGCAGTCACATCTCTGAGGAAGAAGAGGGTAGGGAGGGAGTAAACATTTCTTCAGCACCTGTTCTGTGCTAGAGTATAGAAGCGAAGACAGAAGCATCCCAGAGCGTGCCAGGTTGAGGACAATGGGCCCCTTGGCAAAGGAGTTGGGTTGTGCCTCCTCACAGATTGGGTGGAGAGCTCTACAGCTCTAGCGACCTTAGGAGGAATGCATTTCTTCTAAACCTGGACTTAAAGCCCCAGGTAACCATTAAATTTTTCTTTCTAGGTCTTTCAGCAGCCCAGCGGAAGTTTGCACACTCACTCAGAGACTTTAAATTTGAATTTATCGGTGATGCAGAGACTGATGATGAACGCTGCATAGGTATGTAAAGGTGGGGTTTATGGTTTGCCTTCCTTTGCTTTGGCCACCAAATAATCATAACTTTCTCTTTGTAGATGCTTCCTTACGTGAATTTTCTAATTTTTTGAAGAATCTGGAAGAACAGAGAGAAATTATGGTGAGTTGTGGGATGTAAACTAGTAAATTCAACTTTAAGCAGGGAAAATCTGGGTTTAGAAGCTGGTTCTGGTAAAAGTTTTTTTTTTCTTCTTTAAGATTTTATTTGTTTGAGAGATGGGGGGGGGCGGGGCAGAGGGTGAAACAGACTCCCTGCAGAGTGTGGAGCCTGATGCTCCACCATGACGATGCTGGGCTCAGTCCCAGGACCCTGAGATCATGACCTGAGCTGAAATCAAAAGTCGGATGCTTAATCGACTGAGCCACCCAGGCACCCCTCTGGTAGAAGTTTTGATACATTCATCTGCAGATGAAGTAATGCTTAGTAGTGTAAAGAGCCCTGGAGGGGCTTCAGGGGGGGTTGAGGTTTCAGGAGTCTGGATTTCTAGTTTCACAGTGGGTACTGACTGCGGTAAGATCTTGGACAAGTTGCCCGACCTCTAAACCAAGACCCCGTTTCTTTATCCATAAAATAGTGGGTCAGACTATAGCAGTGCTTTCTAGATTTTTGTTAGCAGTGGAGCACTTTCCTTTAAATTGAGTCTCAGGCAGAACATTAATGTACCCAGAAGATGAAGCAGAAAAACTTACGTAGAGGCAGAGGGACAGCAGAGCAATGTTAGAGCCTGACTCGTACTTTGGTAGATTTTTAGGTTGTGTGAAGGGAGAGAATTTGGGCATGGACGTCTTCAGAATCCCACTTTGCCTTGAGATTTGTGATCACGACAGTAATCATAATAGCTGCTCTCCACATGCCTGATGCTATGCTGAGTGCATTGAGGGAATGATTTTTATTTAACAAACACTCAGCAATGGATTTTGAGGGTGTTGAATCATATTTTCTCACCTTTCTTAAAAGCCTCCCTCCTAATGTTTGTTATTCATTCAGTAAAGATTTACAGTAAAATTGCCCCCAGATTATTATATGCTATCTATTCACACTGGTTTTTACAGACTTTAAAAAAATGACAAACTTTTTTTTCCTATGTCCTTAGGAATGAGTACTAGCTAGAATTATGTTAACGTATAGGTGTACAAGTCAGTTTATTTGTGGTTGTAATAATAATACTGATTGGGATAGCTGAGATAGTCAGCCTTTACTCTGTGACTGGTACTGGTTTAAGCTATTAACCTAATACTTCATTTAATCCTCAAGTCAGTCCAATGATACAGATTCTGTTATTGCCCCCTGTTTTGCCATTGAAGAAACTGAGGGATAGTACCTTGCCCAAGATCACACGGCAGCTGAGAGCTGGAGCCAGAACCAGCCTCTCTGAAACACCCACCATTTTGGCCAGCTTCCTAGATGTTGCTGTAATTAATCTCGTGGGTGGTGGCAGTGGTGGGATTTCTGTCTGGTGGAGTTGCAGTAGAGGAAGAAGGAGCGGGAGAGCACTGATTTTAATTTAAAAGTGATGGGGACATATGTCCTCTAAAAGCCCCAATATAATTTGCACTGTGCCCTATTTCCTGAGATAATTTTTATATATTGTAAATATTGGAGAGGGCAGGTGAAGGTACTGTGGTCACATTAGGTTTTTGTGGCACGAACTGTGACATATTCAATGATTATTTGTGTGATCCTGAATCACTGATTTTTCAGCAGTTTAGGAAAGTCTAAATGTGATAGTGGATAAAAATAGTGCTGTGACGACACAAAGTGGGTGTGGGTGTGTTCTTAGTTTATGTGCATAGGATCAACTTTTTTGTTCTCAGCCCTCCATGATATTTAGTTATACTTCTGGGATCCTGAGCATTCGGCAGATATACATTTGATCTGCTTGTATGTTCCAGTTACTGTTTAGAATCTGAGGACACAGGCAAACCGAGCAAGGTCCCTCATGGAAGTTGCATTCTGGGAAGGGGAGTGATAAACATATAATATAGGTCAGGCAGTAGTAAGTCCTACAAAATGAAATAAAACAGGGTTAGTAGCCAGAGTCAGGGAGTGGGGCGGGGTGCTATTTTATCTAGGGTGGTGAGGGGAGGCCTTTATTGCTGAGAACTGTGTGAGGCGTCCCGGCATTTAGGGGAAGAGGGTTCTAGGCAGACTGGTACCTGATTTTAGCTCCACTGAAATACCATGTGACTACTTCCTGTCTTGATGTTCTATTTTTGTCTCATGTTCCTTGAGATGAATTGACCAGGTCAAAAAATGAACGTGGTCTTAGCTCCAGGCTGTCTGACACAGATAGCATGGTCCTCATAGCTATTATTAGCTGGCATCTTGACTTCATCTTTAGCTGTGATAGGGATGGATAGGATCTTTTAGATAGAGTGAGGATGGTGGGGCTGGGTTTCCAGTACAGGGTAGAAGTAGGAATAGGATGTTGTCTGCACAAGGTCATGAACCTCAGGGAGGGATGGGGCAGTATGTTACCACCCATTTGGGGGAAGAACAACTCTTGCTGCATAGCAGGAAACTGTTCAAAGCCAGAAAGCAGTTTGGGGTGGGGATGGGAGGGAGCAGCTATGACCAACCATAGAATTAAAAGGACACCTAATACTTTTTTTTTTTTCCTTAAACTTTTTCGTTTGGAAAATTTTGAGCATGTACGAAAAGTAGAAAAATGTAATTAAACTACGTGTACTCAATATTCAGCTTCAGTTGGTTGCCACACAACCAATCTTGTTTCTCCTGTATGTCTCACTCCCTGCCCCAATCAGTTTGACAGAAAGCCCATTATCATATTGTTTCATCCATAAATACCCTACTACAGAGCTCTGAAAGGTAACTCTCTTTTTGATCCATAGTATCCTTGACACACTTAAAGACAAGCAGTTAATTTCTTAATATTACAGAGAATTAAGCTGTATTCAGAATTTTCTGATACTCATTTACATCCTCCCATAACAGTTGGTTTGTTTGAATCTGCATCCAAACACATTGCATTTGATCGACCTTCCTTCCTTCCTTCCTTCCTTCCTTCCTTCCTTCCTTCCTTCCTTTTTTAAAGATTTTATTTATTTGAGAGAGAGAGAGAGAGAGAGAGAGAGAGAATGAGTGTGGGAGGGGGGAAGAGCAGAGGGAGAGGAAGAAGCAAAGTCTCCACTGAGCACAAAGTCTGACGCGGGGCTCAGTCCTAGGAGCCTGGGATCATGACTGGAGCCAATGGCAGACGTTTAACCAGCCGAGCCACCCAGGTGCCCCTTGATTGACAAGTTTCTAAGTCTTTTTTAATCTGTAGGTTTTTCTTCCTCCTTTTTCCCCTTGATAAGAATTCCTGATACTTTTCTATTCACTTTAAAAGACCTTTAAAATAGTACTACTTCCTGAGTTATGAGTTATAATGACAAAATAATAAAAGCAAAGAAGTTTGGTATTTAACCCATATTGATGTTCTTTTGGTGTTTCTGTCTAATCTTGATCATCAGGGGTCGCTTTTTTTAACCATAAAAATTGCATAGAATAATGGCTACTCTTGTTTTAAATAGCTTTGAACACTTAATAAAGAAAACTTTGATGCTTTGTTGGACACTAGCCTTAAACTTTTGAATAAGAAAAGATGCCTCTGTCAGGAAGTGCTCAGTGTGGCCCTGGAGAATAGCTGGTAAAAAGTGAATTAAAATCTATTCTACTAAGGGGCACCTGGGTGGTTCAATCAGTTAAACGTCCAATGACTCTTGTTTTAGATCATGATCCCAGGGTCATGATATTGAGCCCTGCATCGGGCTCTGCACTCAAAGCAGAGTCTGTTTAAGACTCTCTCTCCCTCTCCCTCTGCCCCTCCCTTCCTCCCATGCTTGCTCTCTCTTAAATAAATCTTTAAAAAATTTTTAAAATTTTTAAATTTTTATTATTTTATTTATTCTCTTAAATCTTAAAAAAATATTCTACTGAGTGTGATAATACAGGAATAGTTGGGGTTGCGTGAAGTGGGGAGCAGCTAAGTCTGTGCTTGTCAGGAAGGACTTTGTGGAAGAAGTTGTATTTGAGCTGGAGTTTGTGGAGCAGACACCAGAGGAGGGCCTTTGTATGACAAAGAGACGAGGAAAGTCTTGAAGTAGCTAAAGTGGGAGCCAGTGCATTGTGGGAACTTTTAAAAACTCTTGTTTTAATTAAAATTATTACACATTGGGGTGCCTGGGTGGCTCAGTTGGTTAGTTGTCTGACCCTTGATCTCTGCTCGGGTCTTGATGTTGGGGGTCGTGAGTTGAAGCCCCACGCTGGGTTCCATGCTGGGTGTGGAGGTTACTTAAAAAAAACAAACAAAAAAAAACTATGGTTATCAGTATTATCATTAAAGTACCTCATTGTCATCTTTATGTGACATAGTGAAAAACCTACATAAAACACATGTTAAAAAAGTTATTACACATCAGCAGTACAGAGCCACATATTAAAAAAGGAATGCAAAATGACAGCTGTAAAATAGTGGTAGAAATAGTCTAAACTTGGTTTTAAGAATTTAACAAAATCTTACTGGTCACTTAATCTTTAAAAGCAATCAGGGGTGCCCGGGTGGCTCAGTCGGTTAGGCGTCTGATCCTTGATCTCATCAGGGGTCTTGATCTTGGGGGTCATGAGTTCAAGACCCACGTTGGGTTCCATGCTGGGTGTGGAGCCTACTTAAAAAAAAAACAAAAACAATTAGTGTTTTCTGAAGTCCTAAATTAAATGATGTTGTACCATGATAATTGGATATTCATAATTAATACTGAGTCATTAAAACGTGAAAAAATATTTTAAATCTAATCTGTTTTCAGAAGGCAAGGACCAGTGTCAAAAAACTTTAAAAAAGCTTTCCATTTCTTAAATGTTAAAATAGGATGCTTGGCTTTAGGAATAAGGTCATCAGATTGGAAGCTGAACAATAAGGAACAAGTTCTTCTTTATTGGTTTTGAGCCACTAAAGGGGTGTGTGTGTGTGTTTGTACACACACATGACTGAGCTGTATCCCTCAATAGGATTAGATATAAATATTTCAGCAAATACTGTGTGTGTCTACTACATGCCAAACACTGTGCCAAGTGCTTTAAAGACAAAGGCGGAGTTCCTG